AGCTTTCACCAATCATCTGCATCCTAAATGCCCCACCTTCCCCATCCCTTGCCAGGCCAAAATCCATAGGGGGGGGGGAGATGTCCTGCCAATGCCCCCAGCCCCATTTCAAGGGAGACTGGAGTTGTGCTTCAAGCAGTGAAGAATTCCTTGCATTCAACTGTCTGGGGAGGAAAATAGGCAGGGGGAAAGGGGGGGGCTTCATTACTGACACAAGGTACTCACACACACACACACACACACACACACATTCTCTCTCGCCCTGTGCGAGTCTGGAGGTGGGGGAGCGCTCCCCAACTGCACGGGAGAAGCAGAGCCCTAAACACCGAGGGAACCTCGCAGGTCTTCCCGGTGGGGGCTCCCCCCTCCCATCTCCCACCTGGGACCCCCCCCGAAACACAGGTGAGGGGCTGGAAAGCAGGGGGACATGGAGGAGGAGGAGGAGAAGAACTGTAATACTGAAATAAAAAAAGATCCGAGGAAGGGGCGCCAGGGGCAGACCGGCCCCCCGTTTCTGTCCTTCCTCCAGGGACAAATCTCGACAAGGTCCTTAAGCATGATCCTTCACGGGGTGAGGGGGGTAACGCCCCCCCACCTTTGCAGTCCAAAGTCTCCCCCCGGCTCCCTCACGGGGGTAACGCCCCCCACCTTTGCAGTCCGAAGTCTCCCCGGGCTCCTCCAGGGGCTGCCTCCCCATCCCTGGAGAGACCCAGCCCAGCAGCCTCTGTCCGATCCGTCCTGGACCCTGGGCTGGGAGGAGGAGGGGCAGGAGGAGGAGGAAGAGGAGGGGGGAGCGGCCGGAGGGGAAGGTCCAGCTCTGGCCATCACATGATGCCGTTGGTGAGGTACTGGAACCCGTCGTAGAGCTTGGTGGTGAGGGAGCGCATGCTGCCGTCCACCAGCTGCTCGATCAGCACCTGCAGCTGCTCCTCCGTCATGTTCATGTGGAAGCGCTCCTTCAGGTTCCGGATGGTGCTGGAGCCGTGGAAGCAGGGCAGCTGGGAGCCTGCAGGGCGAGAGGTAAAGAGGCAGGTCAGAGACCAAGAGGCCAACTCAGATGGGTTAACTTTCCCTTCTGCCCACCCTCCCCATCCCGCGATCTCCCCATCGTCCAGTCATATTTGAAGACGTCGTTTTTGGTAACACTCCCTGCGACGGTTGGAGAGACCGAGAGGTGTTACGCTCCCTTCCCAGGTCCACGGCCTCGTCGGACAGCACGAAGCAGATTGGTTTTGGTTTCCCCCATCTTCCCACACCTCCCTCCCCCCCCAAACTTCATGACAGACTGGCATCTAGCAAAGCATAGACATCCCCCCCCTCCCCTGAGGAGCCCGGCCCACCTTGCTGCATGATCTCCACGATCTGCACCACCTTGTCCATGTGCTTCCGGGCGGCGATCAAGCCCTGCAGCATCAGCATCTTGTAGTAGTTGAACATGTCTCCCCCGATGCCGCCCATCACCTGCGGGGGGGGAGGAAGGGGCAAATTGCAAGGCAGGAAGACGGAAGGACCCCCAGCGGACCCCCACCCCCCCAAGAATTGGACTCCTCTGCATTATAGGTGGTTTATTTCAATTGAGGTCAAATTTTCTACTATTGACCGAGACATTTCTTAAGAGAATTGTGCCCCGTTTTATGACCTTTCCTGCCACAGCTGTTCAGTCGTTAAGTGATGAATACAGTGGTTAAGTGAATCTGACTTCCCCAGTGATACTGCGACCGTCATAAATATGAACCAGTTGCTGCCAAGGATCTGAAATTTGATCACGTGACCATGGAGGAGGCTGCAATGGCTGTAAGCGTGAAGAACGGTCATAATTCCCTTTTTTTAGCACTATTTTAGGACCGTTTCCTCCGCGCTTCCCTCTCGGCCCTCCCTCCCCTGCGCCACTTACGTCCACAAACTCGGCGGTCAGCTTGAAGGCCGAGGTTTCGAAACCCAGATTCCGGGGGGAGCTGGACAGGATAAAGCCAAAGTCGATGTGGATGATGTGGCCGTAGGCGTCCAGCAGGATGTTGCCATTGTGCCTGGGGGAGGAGACGGGCCGGGGGGGGGGGGAAGGAGAAGAAAAAGCTAATCAGGCATTTTGGGTTTTCCAAAGGAAGCCCCGTCCCTCCCCCTAAAGTTTGTTTTAATTTCTTAGAATGAAATGTAGCTCGGTCGGGAGATTTTTAAGGCCGAAACTGCCGCCTTCGTAAAGGCACTCGGTCCGTGCCCAGGAGGCAGAGCGCCTGCAGACTCGCCCCGTAAAGCCTCACCTGTCCTTCACCTGCAGCAGGTAGCAGACCAGGCAGTAGCCGGCGCAGCTCTGCACGAAGTTGCGCTGGGCGGTGAGGAAGCCCTCGGAGGTGAACTGGCCGTGCTCCTGCAGGAAGAAGTCCAACAGGGAGAGCAGGGACTGCTTCTTCACCTGGTGGATGGAGACGGCGTTGACCACCGGCTCGATCATGCCGCTGTCAGCCGAGATGACCAGGATTTTGTAGGGCTTGATCCACAGGGGGACCCGCTCCTGCTCCCAGATGGCCTGCAAGGGAAGACGGGAGGGCTGGGCGGATGGACGGAGGCCAAGGGGGGGGCCTGGCACAAACAATGACATGATTTCCACCCCCCCATACACACACACACCTGGTCTTAATTCTAAAGGCAGGTAGAGGAGATCTGAAGCCCCCTGACCCATCACATCTGTGGTGGAGAAAAGCCCCCGTCCAGCCTTCCTCTGCTCACTTCCTTCCTTCCTTCCTTCCTTCCTTCCTTCCCTTCTTTTCTTTCCTTTCCCCTGTCCCTCCCTCCCTCCTTTCTCAGTCTCTTTTCCTTCCTTCCTTCTTCTCCTCTAATCCTTCCTTTCTCAGTCTCCTTTCTTTCCTTCCTTCCTTTCCTCCCTTTCTCCTTCCCTTCTTTCCTTTCCCCTGTCCCTCCCTCCCTTCCTTCCTCCTTTCTCAGTCTCTTTTCCTTCCTTCCTTCCTTCTTCTCCTCTAATCCTTCCTTTCTCAGTCTCCTTTCCTTCCTTCCTTTCCTTCCTTCCTTTCTCCTTCCCTTCTTTCCTTTCCTTTCCCCTGTCCCTCCTTCCCTCCCTTCCTCCTTTCTGTCTCTTTTCCTTCCTTCCTTCTTCTCCTCTAATCCTTCCTTTCTCAGTCTCCTTTCCTTCCTTCCTTCCTCCCTCCCTCCCTTTCTCCTTCCCTTCTTTCCTTTCGTTTCCCCTGTCCCTCCCTCCCTCCCTTTCTCAGTCTCTTTTCCTTCCTTCTTCTCCTCTAATCCTTCCTTTCTCAGTCTCCTTTCCTTCCTTCCTTACTTCCTCCCTCCCTTTCTCCTTCCCTTCTGTTTCCCCTGTCCCTCCCTCCCTCCCTTCCTCCTTTCTCAGTCTCTTTTCCTTCCTTCCTTCCTTCTTCTCCTCTAATCCTTCCTTTCTCAGTCTCCTTTCCTTCTTTCCTTCCTTCCTTCCTTCCTTCCTCCCTTTCTCCTTCCCTTCTTTCCTTTCCTTCCCCTGTCCCTCCCTCCCTCCCTTCCTTCCTCCCTCCCTTTCTCCTTCCCTTCTTTCCTTTCCTTTCCCCTGTCCCTCCCTCCCTCCCTCCCTTCCTTACCTGCAGCTGCTTCAGCACCTGGAAGGCCAGCAGCTCCTGCCGGAGGTCGTCCCCACACTTGACGATCATGGAGAGGAGCCGCCAGTTGGGCAGGTGGCCGTAAGGGGAGCCCTCTCGGATCCTCCTGGGGAGAGAAGGGAAAGATGGAGCCTTGGGCTGGCCCTCCCGCAGGGAAGCCTCCGCCGCCCGTCAGCCTCTCTGGCCAGCCCGGGAGGCCGACCGGACGTGGCAGCCGCCCGTCTCCTGTTCATTATTACCAAAGAGAAACCGAGGCCAGCCTGTCTGCCTCTCCTTTTTGTGCTTGGCCCTTTTTCTCTTGTTTAATGCCGCACTTTTCAACCTTGGCCACTTTTAAGTTAGGAGGACTTCAACTCCCAGGACTCTGCGCTGGCTGGGGAATTCTGGGAGTTGAAGTCCACCTGTCCTGTCCGAAGGAAGGCCCTCGCTGACTCCCAAGAGGCCAGCTGGGCTTTTCCTGGCCCTGCCCTGCCCTCCACACACACACACACACACACACACACGGCCCCCTCCTCACCTCACTTTCTCCTGCCAGGGCTCCTTCAGGGCGACGGCTGAGGGGTCCTCGGGGTCCCGCTTGAAGGAGGTGGGGGTGTGGGCCAGCTGCTCGGAGAGACGCCGCCTGCGGGAGGGAAGCGAGTTCAGATCCTTCTGCCGGGGAGGCCGGCTAAACTGCCAACCCCCTTCCGGTGCCCACTTTCTAACCCTGGTGGCTGCTGCTGCTGCTGCCCAGCTGGACAGACAGACAGACAGATGTGGCTTTTGAGCAGAACGGGGGGGGGGGCGTCCAGCTGTGTTTTGAAACCCCTCCTGAAGACCCAGCATAAACACCCCCTCCTCTAAAACCACTGAGGGGCTTTATTTCGGTTTGGAGAAGATGGACAGATTATATTCAGAGAAAGTACGACATGAATAATGATCATGTTGCTTTTGATTAAACTTTTTTGTTATTTTTATTTACTTGGTATAATTTATATATTACTATATTTTTATATTCATGTTTGTTATTGTATATTAGAGTTAAAGTACGTTAATATTTGATTGTATTAAGTTTGGGTAGCTTTATTTAGATTGGGGATGTTATGTGCTTATCCCTGTATTCAGTTCTGGGAAGTCTGGGGGGGGGAGGGGGGAAGGGGGTGAAGGGAGTAGAGTCATATAAAATTTGGTGTATTAATATGTTATAGAGAAATAATGTAATTTTTTTCTTTGTGAAGAGAAGGTGGTCGGCTGGTACCCCCAAACCGCATCCGAAGGTTGAGGAAAAGAAGGAGGAGGGATGTGTAGGGCAGTTGGAAGAGGAGGAGAGAGGTGTGGGGAGGAAAGGAAGAGGGAAGTAGGTAGGAAGGGTGAAAGAGAGGGTGGATGCGGGGAGGGGGGGGACGGGACTGCCGACCACCTCTGAAAATATGATGTTTAATAGGTATTTTTTTCCCTTTTTTATGTGCACCATATTTGTATTAAGAATTTGTTTATTTGAAAATTAATAAAAATTTGTGAAATAAAATAAAATAAAACCAGTGGGGGGGGGGCTCTGCTCACCTGATGTCCCCCGCAGCGATGAACACCGGTTCCTTGCTCTCCTGGCTGGTGATGCTGTCCACGGAGAACTGCGAGATGTTGTCGCAGCTGCTGGTGTGTATCTCGGGCAGCTGGAGAGCGGAGGAGGCAGGCCGCTGTGAGTGCCCGAGGGGGGACAGGAGGGGCTTTCCCCCCTCCCAGCCGCCTCCCCCTCCCCGCCACGCCTGCTCACCTCCACCTGCAGCTCCCCAATGTCGTCCACAGACCAGGCCTCGTCGTCGTTGTCGTAGTTGGGCACGGTGGTGAAGCTGCTGGCGCGCTGCTCGTAGGTGATGCCGCAGCCGGGCAGGTTCTCCACCGAGCGGGTGCTGCGGATCCGGTTCTCGGGGATCCGGGCCGGGACGCTGGTGGTGTCGAAGTTCTCGCATTCAAGCACCTCCACGTAGATCAGGTAGGGAGCCTGGGCGGGGGGGGGGGAGAGGAAGGAGATGTGGGGAGGGTCCTTCTCTGGATGAATACAGGTAGTCCTCAACATACGGCGACCGTTCAGTGGCATTAAAGTTAAAAAAGGGACTGAGGCCCGTTGTTCACTCTTACGACCGTTACAGCATCCCTACAGTCAGGTGATCGAAGTCGAGGCTCAGAAACTGGCGTGTACTTGTGACAGTTGCAGTGTGACCTAGGGTCACGTGATCCCTTTTTGCAACTTTCCGACAAGCGAAGTCAATGGGGAAGAGTCGTAAAAATGGGGCAAAGCTCACTTAACAACATACATTCTGGGCTCCCCTGTGGTCATGCGGAAGACCCCCTGCGTGCTGCTGTTCCAGGGGAGTGGGGGGTGAGGCCCCCGCCTGCCGTCCCCTCACCTTGTCCTTGGAGTTGAGGACCACCGCCTGGGTGTGGGGCACCCGCACCACGTGGTGCTCGAAGCCGGCGGAAGGCAGCCAGACCCGGGCGGGCAGCTTGTGGTTGAGCAGGGAGAGCTCGGAGATCAGTCTCTGCGTCTTCTGCTCCTTGGTGGGCAGCGTGGTCAGCCGTTTCCCGATGGCCATCAGCGACTTGATGAACTCTCGCTCGGGGGCCAGCCGGACGGGCTGCGCGGGGCGTTGGAGGAGGGGGCGAGAGGAAGAAAAGAGGGAAGGTGAAGCCCACCACCCATCGCAGATCTCAGAGCCTTTCAGCTGGACTGATTTTGCGGGGTGTGTGTGTGTGTCTGGTGAATCCCCTCCCTCTAATCGCGCCAGATGTGCTGCAGGAGACGACAAGCTCAGCCAAAGGGGAGGCGTGTGGCCTCGTTCCCCCCCCAGGGGGGAAGTAAAATCCTTGCAATGAACTCTGAACCCCAGACTTGCGGGTGGGGGTCTTGTAGAGCGACACTCGCTGTCCACCCAGCAGGAGGGGAAAGACTAGGCCAGGGGTAGGCCACCTTGGCTCTTTTAGGACTGGTGGACTTCAACTCCCAGAATTCCTGAGCCAGCCATGCTGAGGGGAAAGGGAAAGGTTTCCAAGCTGAGCCAGGCTGGCTCAGGAATTCTGGGAGTTGGAGTCCACGAGTCATAAAAGAGCCAAGGTTGCCTACCCCTGGTCTAGACTCTAGGCCTAGGATAGGGGTCTTCAAACTTGGCTCTTTTATGACTGGTGGACTTCAACTCCCAGAATTCCTGAGCCAGCATGGCTCAGCTTGGAAACCTCTCCCTTTCCCCTCAGCATGGCTGGCTCAGGAATTCTGGGAGTTGAAGTCCACCAGTCATAAAAGAGCCAAGGTTGCCTACCCCCTGATCTAGGCTGACCCTTGTGCTCTGGATGTCCTGGGCTCTCGACACGCGCCTACGGGACGGAAAGAGGAGGCCCACGCCCAGCTCTGGGCAGGACTCGCACCCTCCACTCATGCCTTTCCCCCCCCCCCGCAGGAGCCTCCATTTGCTCCCCCACCAAGACGTGGGGTGGGGACCAGCCAGGCACGCTCTATCCACATCCTTCCTCCAAAGCAGCATCCTCTATCCGCATCCTTCCTCCAACCACACCGTACGCCAGTCTCCACGCTGGGCACCGCCGGTGGAGCCCTGGGCTGTTGGCAGAGCTGAGGCCAGGTAGACAAGGCCCTGGCATGGATGCCACCTTCGTCCCTGCTGACCATGAGAAGATCAGGGCAAGGATGAGGCTGAGCGAGCCCCCCCCCCAGAATGTGGGGGGCGATGAAAAGCTAGGGAACCAAGGAGAGCTATTCAACACCCACCCCCCCAGCGCCAAAGATCAGGGGCAGTTCTCCCAACCTCCCCCATCCTCATAAAAGCCTCCACTTCCACCCAATCAGTTTAACATTTATTTCTATTTATTTATTCCAATCAGTTTATTAACATTTATTTCCACACCCTGGAAAGAGGGATGACTCCGGAACAAGAATCAACTTTACGCAGAAGGAGAGGCTGCCAATTTGCAGAGGGGGGGGGTAGGATAGAGAGGGGAAACATTGGGGTTGAAACCCCTTGCCAAGCCCCCCCCCCCATGATTTTCTCCCCGTTTGCCAGTCCCCGCGTCCCATCTCACGACGGAGGGGAGGGGGGGAGGGAAGTAGAGGTTTGCAGAAAGAAAAAACTTGATTGGCGCGAGCAAAAATTTCAGCAGAAGGAAACAAAAAAAAGAAAAAACAAAAAAAACACCCCGATTCTTAATTTGAGGCAGCAAAGGAAGAGCTGAAAAATCCGTATGGATTCCCAGGACATGCTAAATAATAATAATAAAAAAAACAACGAATCTCGGGTTCCCCAAAAACAGCATTTCCTCTTTTTTTCCTTTTTTTTTTCTTTCGGACAAGTGACCGGCCCAAACAGAAAAACTTTGCAAACTTTTAGAACTCAGATCACACGGGGGGGACTCACGGGGACCCTGCGACGACGACGACGACGGCTGTGAATCTGAAGATTGGTCATAATAAAGTGCTTGGGGGGGGGGG